TATCGTCTTAACCCGGGAGCCAAATGAGTCGGCCCGCGAACCAAATATATAGATTTTAAAAATTAAATTTTTATACTAAAAAATATTTAAAAAATATTTAAAATATTTAAAGTATAATAAAAAAAATTTAACAAAAACAAACTAAATATGTAATAAAAATAAAATTTGTATATAAAAATATTTTAAAATATATTAAAATTTTAAAATTTAAAAAAAAAAATATTTTTTTCTGGTCCGCGAACCAGACCAGCTCGTGACGGACTGGCTCCCCTTGGCTCGTTTGGTCCGATTTTTTCTGGACTCAAATATTTTAAACCCGAGTCGAAAAATTATGGGTCGACTCGTTTTACACCCCTAATTTTTGACAATTTGGATAACCAAATAGAGAGATAAATAGTATTTTTATCGGCTCGTTTTACACCCCTAATTTTCTGGGCTAATTTTTGTCTTCGACATATGCAAAACCTTAGTTTTCAATGCTTTTTAAAATTTATTTATTTGCAATTAGAATATATATAATGGTAAAATCGTATATAAAAATTAAAATAAATAGTATTTTTGTAATCTATCCGGTAATTTGTTTTTGAACAATACAACCTTGTTTCCCAATCCGTTATCACGAAAATCTCGTATTATCTCCCAAATATATCAAAAATATTTGTGACCAATCTTATTTTTTTGTTATAATCCGAAAATTAACCGTATCTTTAATTCAACTACATCTCTCAAATTATTATAATTTGAAACCCATATGAATATATCTTCTTAAATGGAGATTTGAACCTGAGTTAAAAAGAAGTTTTGTGTACTTACCAGTTGAATCACCCAATTTTAGATTGAGCAATCCTATTTGCTACGTCGTCCTCCTTATTCTTCTTTAATTAACTTCTCCCATTCTTTTGTTTTTTTTCTTTTTGAAATGCGATTAGGATATAGAAGATGGAGGAGTAGGCCATGCTACCGGATCGGGTCGTGGTGGGTTTGGGTGACCCGGTTATGTACCAGCAGCAACCAACAATGACAGGTAGGGGGGGTGTTTGAGGAGGTTGCGTTGGTGATCTCTGAACCCTCACATTCACTTAGTGGGTTTCTTTGTTTCAGGTAAGCATCTGTCTTACTCTTTGGACCCCTCCCTTTGTCGTCTTTTTCCTTGCACACACACACACCTATGTGGACATACATACATATATACATACATACATGCATGCATACATGCATACATACATATATATATACATATGTGTGTGTATATGCATGCATGTATGTTTTCGTATGCATATCGAGTTTAATTGAGTAATTTCTAAAAAGTAACTAATGCGGTTTTCTGTGTGTAAATTAAGAGAGATTAACAAGTGTTTTTCACTTCACATTTAAGCAAAGTTAAAAAAAAAAGTCAGAGTTTGATGAAAAGTAATTCTCATTCATCAAATCAGATTAAGATGTTAGCGTATATATTTTCTCCTATTTTTTAGCGCGAGGAGGAATGGAGTCTATGTATTATTATTGTTTTTTTTTTTTTTGAAAATCTATGGTGTATTCATTCTTTAGCCTGTGTATTTTTTGTTTAAAAATCAACAATAATTTTTATATGGGCAAAATCCGAGGTGAATTGGTCCCTTTAATTTCAAAGTTATGGGTTCGAATCTCTTAATCTTTCTATCTGTGAATCTGTCAACTATTATACGAGAGCGGAAATTTACCCAATACACACCCGAAAGATAGTGACGGTGGATTCCGACATTATAAAAATAATAATAATGTTTATTTTTGTTTTTCAAACAAATGATTTGAATATATAGGTCAATACCAATGGGCAAACCGAATCACTCATCATTCAAACATTATACACACTTTTCTTTTAATTCAATGGAAAATCCATTATAAATATAAAAAAGGGTTTACATATAAAGATTAGACCATCCTTTTTCCATGCATGTGAGTAAGAAACGGCAAACACTTAAAAGCAAAAAAAGAAAAAAGAAAAAAAAAACACGCTGATCTGTCCCTCTTGTCTAAATTCTAAAAGCATATATTATTTTTTTCCCTCACCCGAAAATTCATTTTTTCCCCCCTTTATTTTTCTTCTTTTATTTTTTCCTTCTAAAAAAAAATTAAAATGGTTTCCCTATAAAAAAAGTTTAATCTATCCCTCCGAATCGGTCCATCTTATACCTTCTTCCACGAAAAAATCTCTTTCTGTTTCTCTGCAGAAACTTTCAAACATTCAAGAAAATCTCGGCATTTTCTTGGAAAATTTCCTGGATATCTGAAACCTTGCAATCCCCCCACAAAATTACAAAAGGGCCCATAGCATTTCATCGGGAAAACGAAAAAATGGCGGTGGAGCTTTTCTCGGAGAATTCCAGCATCAGCCCAAGAATCTCATTCTCCCACGATTTCTGCAACTCCGACGTCATACCGATCGAGCAACGTCCCTTGCGATCTCCGTCGTCGGCGTCGAAACCATCGAGTCACAACTCGAGCGTTGACTTTGACTTCTGCGTCGCTGTCGCCGCCGGCGAGAGCTTCGACCAGGCTTCTTGGTCCGCCGACGAAATCTTCTCCGACGGCAAGATACTTCCCACCGAAATAAAAAAGAAACCCCAATCCAAACCCGTGAAACCCGATCTGGGTCGACCCGGAACCCGGGATCCTCGACCGGGTCAGGCCGCGAAACAGGAGAAAAAGGGGAAGCTTGTTGTGATTGGAGACGATGACGATGGTGAAGACATCAGCATTCCGGCGGAGGAGAAGAGCAGTACGAGGTCGTTTTGGGGGTTCAAGCGGAGTAGCAGCTTGAACTGTGGAAGTGGATATGGTCGGAGTTTATGTCCGATACCGTTGCTGTCACGGAGCAACTCCACCGGTTCGACGTCGGCGAGCGTTAATAAGAAACCGAGCACGAGGAAACAGACAGAGCATGCGAACAATGGCGGGTTCCCAAAATGGCGGTTCAGGGATAAGGGTGAATCCTGTTCTGAATGTTGTTCCGTCTGGGAATCTGTTTGGTTTGGGTTCGATCTTTTCTGGGAGTGGCAGAGACAGGAACAAGAAGAGATAATGATTTGATCTGGTAATAAGAGATCTTATTTTTCTGGATTCAGTGGTTTATTCTTCCTCTTTGTCCTTCGTCTCCTTCCTTCCCTCTGCAAGCTCTGTAGATTTTCTGACAGTGTGCTTTGTGGGTCCCCACATGGAGTATTTTAGAATCTTATTGTGGTTTTAATTGATTTTTTTAGTTTTTTTTTTATAAATGTTAAATGGTTTCAATTACATATGCAGTACCGTTTACAGAGAATGCAAAATCGAAACTAATTTAATTATGAAATTTGATACGATTTAAAAAAAATACATTAATGAATTTGATAGAATATAAAAATATATAGGAAATTTATGTAAATTAAAATTTTACAATATAACTTTTTTAACAACAACAAGATCCAAATTAAATGATATCAAAACATCCTCAGTGTCTACCTTGGACATTTTACAGTAAAAACTGTTCATTTAACGAGAAAAGTGTAATATTCTGACAAAAGTTGTTGTAAACAAAAAAGATTATCCTGTTTGTTTAAAATTATTGTGCAAGGACGGTCCATCATAAAAAAAAAGTAATCTTTTTTTTTTAATGAATTGACGGATAATAATCAACTCTAAATTGTAGGATGATCTGATCATGTGCTGAAAGCTTTATAAATAAGATTTCAGCGTGATTTAAATCAAGGTATTTATTTCATAAAGACAATTAGGGAAAGTGGGACAAGACAAGTGACTTCGAGTGTGGCCTATTCGATCCTTTCCTTTTTTTAATTAATTATTTCTATATTTTTTTAATGTCTTTTTTGAATATTTGTCACATGGTGTGTATAGAAATTTGATGTGAATTATCGCAAAAGAAAAAGGATAAAAAGGGAAGAAGAAAAAAGGAAAAAGAAATATTTGACGTGAAGTCTACTTTTCTCTATTATCATGTGCCACTTATAAAGCTGGTCTTTTTTGTCATTCCAATTATTTCGTACAAATTATTTACGTACGAATTTCTTATTGTTAGATCAAATTATCTAAACCTAATTTATAACTTAAAACGGCTAATTTAGGATTTACCTTGCTCTGATTTCTAAATTATAAAAAAAATCGTTTTGTTATTTTAACTCCTACCGTCTTGTTGTTTACCAGAAAAATAAAAGTTTAAGTTACCAAAACTAAAACCAATCATTCCATCTCTAACTATATAAAACTAAAAACAATATAAATATTTTAATTACCTATTATAATTTTATTGTAACCATAACACTGTATTTATTGCCACCGGAAAACAAGTATCTCCAAACGTAAGAAGGGACATTTCATTCGAATTTTTCGGATTTTTTTAGAGATGTAATTGAATCAGAAATCTGGTAAATTTCTGGATTATAAAAAATATATCCAAATTATCACCTTTTATCGATTATAAATATTTCTAAATCATTATTGTCTTATTTAAAACCGTACATATATATATATATATATATATTCGATTATTTGTTCACCATATTCCCGTGAAAATCTATCTGTTGAATAATGTGGGATAAAGGATAAAATAAACATTTTAAATATATTCAAATATGTAACTAAAAATGACAATTGACTAACAATGATTAAATAAGAACAAGTATGAAGTCACCTTACCAACAAAAAAAAAGAACAAGTATGAATCGTTTGAAGGCAAGGGAGAATGGATCTCAAGAAGACAATGATGACAGAGCAAGTTGCCACATGCTTGTAGGTCGCACGGGAACACGCTTTAATCCTCTCCCCTCATCCTTGTCTCTCTCTCCATTTTTTGTTTTCGTTATTTTTTTAAAATTATTATAGTCAAATTAATTTTATTTTGGCCAAGGTGGGTAGATGAGTAAATACACATTAATAGAGAAAAAACGATTTTACTATGTTGAAACGTTTGAATCGTATATTGTAACTCCCTCCGTTTCAAAATGTTTGTTGTTTTAACTTATTTCACATTTTTTAAGAAATGAAAATAAAAGTCATATATACCCTTTATTTAATAATAAAAACAATATTATCATTAATAATGTATTGGAATTTGGTAAGGATAAAATTGGAAATTATTTAAAAAAAATGTATTGGAAATGTAAAATGACAAATATTTTGAAACATGGATAATAATCTAAAACTACAAATATTTTGAAACGGAGGGAGTATTTTTTTACCTTACGAGTTGAACGGTTTGGAAATGTGAGTCCACTTTCTCTCCTTTCAAAGTCAACAAAACTAAGTGCTATAGTCAAAGTCCTTCTCAAATCCAATAACCCAAAACAGTAATTTCCAAGTTTGATTTTTCGGTTTTATTTTTCAAAATTTTACTACGGAAAAAAACTATATGAATTACTTTACCCTTATCAATAATAACACAAATAATAAAAAATATTAATAAGATGAGACAAGTCTCGTTACTTATATAAAAAATACTTATTGTACTTGTAATGCAATTTTTACTCAATCTCTCTCTCTATACATATATATATATATATAATTTGTGTACATGGATTTAACAATTTGATTTATCATTGATCCTGTTAATGAAGTTAAAGGTGGTCAAATTATGCTATTTTTTTGTAATAATTAATTAGAAAGTTGTGAGAAAAATAATGAATATTGAAAGAAACAAAATATGACTTTTTTCAAGAATGTTTTAGTATATAATTCGCTGTATATATTTACTCTGTCACCTCTATATTTATTTACCTGCAATTTATCGAGGCACTCGTAAACAAGAGAGAAGAGAAACAAAAACAACTTATTATTCCACATGACGAACGACGATCATCTTCATCACCCTGAAGAAAAAATCCCCCTCCGATCAAACTCAACATGTCTGGATAACCCAAGCCCGGAATTCGACTTCCGATTCCGACAGAACTCGAAACAACGATTCTCTCACGCCGACGAGCTCTTCTCCGACGGCAAAATCCTCCCTCTCGCTCTCGGCTTCACCAGTAACGTCAGCGCTAATCCCGGCAAGAACACTCTCAAAACCCAGATTGATTCCGGCGAGAAGTGTCTCCGACAGCATTCTGACGCAGAGAATCTGAATTCCGGATGTGGGTTTTGGCTTACGAGGAGTAAATCTGTTGGGTACTGTCTGAGGAAGAAGAAGGGCGAATCTTTGACGTTCTTGTCGGATTATGGAAACGCTGATGCGAAGAAGAAGAAGAAGAGTTTGCAGAAGATGAGTTCTACCGAGAAGGCTTCGACAATGCTAAGCAATTACTCGTTAACTGTTCCTTTGGCAGACATATTTTGCTTCGGTTCTGGTTTTTCCGGTCCCAAAGGTCGCAGAAAATGAAAGCGAAGGGTCTTCATGATTCGCATTTTTCAAGTTCTGCTGCGAATGGATTTTTTTAGAAGTTAATTATCGCTGAAAAAAAAAGGAGAATCCAAGTCCAGTTTGTAATATCCAATGTGACATCGAATTATAAATATGGAATTTGTATAAAGTTATAGTGATACAAAATTGATTAGTGATCAATAATTTCAGACGCAAAATCTTTAATCCGTGTAGTTTCTCTGGGGATTTGCTGTTTTGTGTATATGTACTTAGTAAAAGAGTGTTGTGTTTTGCGCAATTGCTTCGATTTTCTCAAAGAATACGGAAGAGAGGGGCGATATTGTAATGAAAAAGAAATAAAGGGGTTAAAATGGAAAATAAAATAAGTACAGGGGCCATATCGAAATTAAGAAAGGAAAATTTTTGTGATTGAAGAGTTGTCAAAAGAAGTGGGTGGAGGATCCCAAAGGGAGACTTCTTTCCCAAACCTTTTAGGAGAGTCCAATGTAATCATAACAAGAAGATTAAACTTTTTAATTTTGATTAAAACGTAATTAGCGACCCTAATGAAGTCCATGATCCTCGGGCCTAAAGTATTGTTGAGAGAAAAAATATGTGAACCTAAATTATTTTTTTTAATGTTAACTATAGTGTTATCCGGTTGGATATGTATATTAAACAAATTATCGAATTGAATATGAAATAGTACAAAAGTGAAAAACAAAGTTTTTTTAAAATTAAATATTTTTAATAAGAAATGAAGTTAAAACATATTTGGGATTTATGAATTTCATTAAAATTATGAAAAAAATTAATATCCGTTAGTTAATTTTTATAACTAATAGTGCAACGATATTGTAAAAATACACAGCGATTTGACTCGATACATGCGCAATGAATTTAAATCAATTCATATTTTTAGCGGTGATATATGTAGAAAATAATGTTAAAATACTTTAAAAATAATCCATCAAAACTATTTTTTATGGGTATCTTTGAAATGTGTTTTCAATTTCAATATATTTTTAGATGCATTTTCGAGATCCTTTTTACAACAAAATGTTACGGTCCGTCATTGTTTTGACATATGATTTAGTTTTTCTTAGACAGTTGAAATTTTATTTGTTGAACCTTATGTTTAAATACAAAAAACTTAGCAATTTGAATGAATTTTTATTAAAATTTTAAAAGTAACGAAATGACACAGTTCACTCTATAATTCAAATACAAGACAAAAATGAGTGGCAGAAAAAAAAAATATTTGAAATTTGAGTAAGGTATCATTGGGTTCCAAAGCCTATCTGGTCCGTGACATTGCAGCTTTGTCAGAGACGGACAACAACAACGCCACTTTGCTCATCTCTCTCTCTCTCTCTCTCTCTCTCTCTCTCCCCATGCAAACGCGTTTTTTTTCTTGAAGCATTACATAAAAAGATTCAAACTTTAAGAAGCAACATGCATATTATGATTGTATTGTACCAATCACATTGTTTATCATTCTTTTTAGACTTTTGTATTTTGAAAAAGTTAGGTATTTCAATTCAATGATTTCATCCTCTACAAATGAAAAAAATGGTTTTTTTAATCGTATACATATATATATATATATATGTTTGGCATTGTACTCGTTCTTAATTATGTCTCTATACTTGTAAGTTGTAAGCATAATTGGAAGAATATATAGAGAGACTGTGTCCGAGGGAAACAGTTTTGGATAAAATTCAAACACAAAAAGACAAAAAAGCAAGAGAGGGCTTCTGTTTGTTTATTGCTGCAGCATACGAAAAACATTACAAATGATCTATCCCTTGTGTGAGCGTGTATATGTATATATATGCACACTCTTTACAAGTGATTTAGTCATGAACCAATGAATATACATATATATATATATATATATATGTTTATTCAAAATCTCAATATTTTGAATCAAGATCTGAAAAGAGAGAGAGCGTTTTACCATTCTACAACGATAGAAAATGTATAACTGAAATATCTACCAAAGTGCCAATTCACATTGGTTTTTATTTTATTTGATTATAGAGACCTTCTGATTTCCTTCTCTTAATTACAGATATTGCAACATATTACCGCCTGACCATAGTTTCATATAAGATGGTACATCGGTTTATATATATATATATATACACATATATCTTGTTAGATCCATATTCATCCCAAGTACGAGCCGTCGTACGCATAAAAAGGAACACTATAAGTCTCTATTTATATTATAAAACTTTTATTCTATAAATGGAAGTTTTCTATCGAGTCTTTTATATTTAATTATCAGCTGTGGAAACTATCAACAGATGCGAACAAAAACCAAGGACGATGAACTATATCAAAGCTGGATCCATCACGACCACTATTCAATTGCTACCCATTATAAATATCAGTCATTGAATCCATGAAATTACTCAAAAATTCAATGAAGTGAAATGAAATTCCTTGCTCTCTTGGTTGGTTCCTCGATTTATGATAATTTTTCCTCAGTCTTCGAATCACACGCGAATTGGGGTCTTGTCAGTTTCTTCTTCTGCGCATGCTTCTCTTCTTCTGCAGAGAAGAAAAAAACAAAAGCTGTAAGAATCTCTCTCTCTCTCTCTCTATAGCCCCTTTCACTGCCAGAGAAATCGCTGTAAAATCTCAATGCACTCAAAAGATTCTCTCTCTTCTTGTCATTTCATGAAGCAAAGCATAATCTTTCATTGTCTCGTTTTGCGATTCTCTCTCGTTATACCCGATGAATCAATTTGACGTGTAAAAAGACGGTAACTTTTTTTTTTCTTCTGGTTCCTCTCCTCCTCTCTTTGATACTTTTGCCTATCAGGGTTTCCCTTATTCCGCTGTACCTTTGTCCTTTGCTGCTCTCCAACTGTCCTCTTTCTTTTACCCTCTCCTTGTAACTTTGTTATCGACAATGCGTTTTCGTCTCTGCCTTCACAGAGATTCTTCGCGAGTGGAATCGCAGAGCTAAAAGCTTTTCGAAATCATAAAGCTATAGCCTTTTCCTCTGGGCCTCTCTGGAGGAATTCAGGCATTTGGTTTTCGTGGAAGAAGGAAAGTTTTTCCCCCTGGATTTTTAGATCGTGGGTTTTTGTGAAACCACCGGATTATGTTCTGGGTTTTGGATGAAATTTCTTGACGAATGTCGATTTCAGATTATGGGTTTTCATTCAGTGGAAAAAGAAACTTCTTTTTCGAGAATTTCAGGTGATGGGTTCTTTTCTTTTGTGACAAGACGATATCTTTCCTGCGCGTTCTCCAAAGCTGCGTTGATTTTTCCCTGCAAAGCTGTGGTTTGAGCCAATGTGTTCCTGAGGAGATAAAAAAAGAAGGCTTTTGTGTTTCTCTATCTCTGCACTTTCTTCTGGGCTTGGGTTCTTATAATGGCGGGAGAAGTCATGGAGACGGTGGATAGAACGGCGCCGTCTGCGGCCATAACAGAGAAAAGGGCGAATAGGCTCGGAGGCTGCGTTGTCATTTTCTTTCAACTCTTCGACTGGAACCGACGTTTCGCTAAACGGAAGCTTTTTTCACGCAAATCTCTTCTTCCTGGTTAGTATATACGCATTTGTGAGAATGTGTGTCTGTTGATTAAACCAAAAAAATGTATGTATGTTGATGTGTCTGTGTGTAATGAATGAAGTTCAAATGCTTGAGCAGGAAAGCAAGCTTCCAAAAGGTTTGGAGGGAACGAGAAGATGCCCAAATCCAAGATTAACTTGGTAACGTCGCATAATCTTGTTTCTCTGTTCTTCCCTTGTTTCTGTTAGAAAAAGCTGAGATTTTGATTTGTGGGTATTTCTTGTTTTGGATGAAAATGAAAAAAAACAAACAAAAATGACAGATTGCTGGTGAGAACAGAGGAGGTTTCCCCAAGAGGAGTGAAACTGTGGAGTCTAGAAAGCACGAGATGAGGCCTCCAGGCTTGGTGGCTCGGTTGATGGGTCTTGAATCCATGCCATCTCTTCACAGAGACAAAGCTAAGAAGAAGTCCTCATTATCACAGATTGATATAATAGGACAGGAAGACCATTTGCTTGGCGAATGTAATGTATTTAGCAGTAGTAGTAGTAGTAGTAGGGAAGAAGACTCCGGTTTCGATAAATCTAGACCGCAGAAGATTCAGAAGACGACGACTGGGTTGTGTGATCGGCGTGTGGTTAAGAAGCTTGGATCCGAGGCTTTGCAGGTGAAGAACGTTCTGACACAAGTGAGGAAACATCATCAGCATAGACATCAGAACAAGAAGCTGGCGTCTCCTGTTAGAAGTCCGAGGATTCATAGCAAGAGTTCTAGGTTGATTGATGCCGCTGCTAGAATTCTTGAACCAGGATTGCAGGCTAAGAAAAGCGCTAAGTATGCTATTGCTTATCCGGGTTCTAGGAGGTGTGAAAATGTTGTTGGGAAAGATCCAGTAGAAGTTGTCTCGTCTGATTCCTTTGAATTGAAACATGGTTATAACATGGCTTCTTGTCATAACTGTGGTAGTTTGGTTGATGTTCCCCTGGTGGTTAAGGAAAAGGGAACCGACATGGGACAAGTTCCAGAATCATCGCCCTTTTGTCTGAAAGAGAATGGCGTGGCTCGTGGAAATCAAGAACCTTGTGTGTTTGCTTCTACTAAAAACATAAGGAGTGAGTGGCTAACTGATGCTAATAATGAGAGTCGTGAATTCAACGTAATGCCTCACAAGGACAAAGAAATGGATTCCTCAGTGTTCAGAAACCGGAACAGTTTTCAGAATCAGGTGTCGCAGAGGGAACGATTTCCTCCAGAAGCTCGAGTGCACATTTCGCAGAACAAGAGATCTTGTTCTTCACCTGAAATTGCAGCCTACCACAAAGCCAAGAGCTTTTTACCCATGAATCATGGTTCAACCAGCAGGAACTGTCAAAGGGTCCCGAGCAAAACTGAAAACTCTGAGTTAGACTTGCAGAGAAGAAGATTACATACCAGATTTGAGGATTCTAATAGGTCGGGTTTAAGCAGTCCGGCACGCAAGCGAAGGATAGCCTCTGTCAGTGAACTGGACCAAGGTTCTGGCTTTGCGTGTTCAACCTCGAGAAAATCAAATGTTGATGTCCTCAATGCTTGTAGTAGCGGTAATGGCTGCAGGGAAAGCGATTTTGTTCATAGCAGAAGCTGGAGAGAAGTGGAAAGGAGAAAAGGGGTCCAACCCGTTTCACATCAGATGAATGAGAGATACTCGAAAATGCCCGACAAGAAAAGGCTGCCACTTGATGAAGATATGATCGGATTGCTTCTGCATCAAAGGCTGAAAGAACTGGCTTTTTCCCAGCATGAAGATGAAACTCTAAGAGATGCTTCTCAGAGCAAATCAACTGGCTTCTGTTATTCAGCACTGGCCCAGCCTGTTATCACCGATGCAGAAAAAGCTTACGGGGTACGTGTACTGTATGCAAGAAAACCACATCACATGATTGCCCCTTAATTTTTTTGATTCTTGTATCCTCTAGTTGTTTCATGAACATTTTGATATTCCCTTTGATCTTGATCATCTGTGTTGTTTGATTCTTGCAGAACAAAGTTTCTCTGGGATACATGCACAACAGTGAATATACAAGCCCAGGCTCTGTTCTTGAAACTTCCTTCTCCAACGAGAGTTGCCTTTCCAGTAGCTTAGATGATAACTCGGGTAAATGAGATGTCAAGACTGGTCAAATTCTCGGTAGTTAACTTCTATAAACTGCAGTTTTCGCACCCAGGATCGGAAACCACAGTTAATCCGGTCTTTGGTAATTTCAGGACAGTTCAGGCTACAACATTTGGATCTTCTTGAAGATTCTGCAACTTCAATCAAGAAATGGACTACGAGTAACTTCCACTTCACCGTGAATCTCATCAGCCACGTCTCGCACGTTTTGAATGGTTTCAGACGCATGGGTCTCATATCAACACTGAGCAGATTCACCAATGCAAGAGACGTTATTATCCAGACCGAGCTATTGTTCGGAACCCGAGAAGACTTTCTCATCCGTCCAAAGCTCCTCGACGAGCTCATGATTCATGCCGCCAGATCCAAGAATCTGGTTAAACTCCCAGGTTTAGGGTTCCTGGTGGATGCCATGATCGAATACTTGGAACTAAGATTCTGCAGACATATTTCCTCGGGTGCCAAGCAATGGAGAACGTTATTACCCTTGCGCATTGATTCGGATGGGCTGATACGGGAAGTTCTTGAAGAGGTGTCGAAGTGGGCACAGATGAATGGGATGTATCTTGAGGAGATTATCGGCATAGATATGGAGAAATGGCAAGATTTTGAAGCCCATGTGTCTGAACTTGGAACAGAGATTGCTTGGGAGATACTTTACAGTTTGGTCGGAGAGTTAGCCGTCGATCTTGGAAAATGCTCGCCGGTAAACCACCGGCGTTCGGACCCTTTGGTGTACTTGAACTAACAGTCTTCTCATTTGGTTCAACTGTAAAATCAGAAAGAATATTAAAGTGGATTGATTGTTCTTTTATCTTCGGAGAATCACGAGTTCTGATTTATGATTCCGTCCATGTTTATACGTAAGTCGCGTTTGTACGGAACAGTCGTTAATTATACATGCAAAATCATTATTGGTTCCAGATTTTATACAAACACATCACCAAACCAATCACCAAGCCAACAAACAATCAATCTCTTTCAATCAAACCCAGAAAAGAAGAATCATTCTTCAATCATACCCAGAAAAAGGTAAAAAATTCATCAAGTGGACAGGAAAAAAATCAAATCCTGGGACCAGAGACAGAGCAAGAATCAGTAGAGATGCCTGTAACCAAGAATTGTCCGACCACCGCCAACAGCTTTCCCCCTTCCTCCGTCTCCATTAATGGCGGAAGCCGCCGCCATGGAAATTTTCTTCAGATCCTCGACAGACGCGTAGCTCTTACGCGCCGCCATGCCCATCACTCTACTCTTCTTCTCCCCTGCACTCGCGGATTTGCTCCCTCTCGCCGACGACGCCGAGCCCAAAATGGCGGCGTTTCTGGTCTTCGGCAGCGGAGGCGGCGTCAGTTCCAAGTGCCGAGGAAGCGCATTAGGAATCGCCGTCGGCCTCCGATTCTCCTTCCGAATCACGGCGGAGAAATCAGGAACCGATTGGGCCAACATCGACGGTTTCCGCAGATTGGTCGCCGTCTTAGCCCCGAATCTCACCGGTTTCTTCTTCTCCAGAGAAACCCTATCTTCTTCTTCCGTTGAAATTACGAAATCGTCCTCGAATCTCACCTGCTTCGCCATCTTCTTGGGTTCATCTCTGCCGAAAAACCTTTCCTCTTCCTCAGCCAGGATCTTCTCGAAGTCTCGCTTCACTCGAAGTTTCGCTTCTCGCAATTTCGCGTACTCTCCGTATCTGGGTCCTCTCTCGAAGCCGGAGAATCCATCGACAAGAAGCTTAAGTTCGTGAGCGTCGGAGTTCTGAGAGAGTACGAGAGACATCGGATCTACAGAAAAGAACAAGGGTTCCATGCTAGGGTTGGAAATCGTATCCGCCATTGTTGATCGATCGATCGATCTCGAATATTACTCTTAATCTCTGGCTCAGTTCAGATTTTCTTTTGGGTTTCGTTGTTTGGAGGCTTTATTAATTGAAATATTTGTTTTTCTTGTAAGCTTTATTGGTTCTTGTTCATGTTCCTTTGGCAACGGTCTGATTGAAGGAGGGTGATTTTACTGTGCGGACGATTTTACCCTTTCCATTTTTCTTAGTTCTAACGGTCTGATTTTGGGGGATGGGACCCAGTTGACCGATGTATTAGGAGAAAGGTCGATCGAACGGTCACGATTCATTCTTAAAAGAGGGAAGGATATGATATTTTATCTAATCGGGTAAGTTTAATTTGTCTAATGTCATTAATTGTGGTGTAAAAAAATCATATTTCTTTAATTTTTAACAACATTGATTAATTTTCTGTATTTTTAACTGAAAAAGTAAAAAAAATAAAATTATTATCCGTTAGTAAATGTGGAAAAGAAAAATTCATGCGACAAGTTATTGTTGTATAAATTAATGTTATAGACTTTTTTTTTTAATTGTTATCACTGAAACTAGAGGAGTCCAACATCACTCAGAAAGGTTATGAACAAATATGAACAGCTCTTCAGACAGTGTGGAACTTGTACTTCTGTCCTAAATTGAACCGAGAAACGGCCCCGTCGAACCCGTTGATCACTACCATCCTCACCGCTTCTACGCCCTGTTCAAGTGCTGCGTCAATCTGCCAACATGAACACGAAATGATTTCCCTCCACATACCCATTTATATACTTCCATCGGACAGTAACAGAGAGGAGTATGGTGAGTTTTGTTATGAGCACATTTTTCACCTGTTTGCGCTCTCGGGAGCTGAATTTCTGGAGAAGAAAAGCTTTCATGTCCATTTCGCCTGGTGGGTTTCCAATCCCTGAATCATACCGGGAGAGGGTTTATGTTAAAACCCGGAAAAGTTTTGATCTTGAATCCGGAAAGGGTCTCTGGAAGACAAACCGATCGATAAGCGGGGAAAGGCACGACAATCATCCAAGTGTTCTGTCACATTCTTCAAACTGGGCACAAAAAAAGGAGTTATACAACAGTCCTTTTGTTCGAGCTCTGCTACCGTTATTACACAAAGCCATACACTTTTGACGTAGTTTGATGTTCTTATTGTATGCACTTCTCCTAATAGCTTTTCCTCATCACCCATTGATGTCAAACGTTGAGATTTAGAGCCCTTTCCAGTTGGTAAAGGCCATAGGAAGACAGCTTTTAGTTGTTATTCTATAAATTTTGATTCCTCCAATCAGACAAAACATGGCCATTACTGGGTGATGTTTCTATTAGAGAGGAAAAACAAAATTCAAAAACATGGGACGACAGCTTACCCATTATGGTGGCTGTGTCCTCCTTTTGGTTGAAGCCTCAATACGCCATTAGGCAAATTCATCTCGTCGTGTATCTGCACCGGCAAATTCCAATGCAAACAGACAAAGAGAAGAATAAACTCTGAGACGGTATACACCTGGTTTATCGCAGTATCCAACAGAGATACTGTATTTTGTTTTTTACCATTAGAATGTGGCGTAAGGGCACTTGATAATGAGCAGCAAGCGATCCAACCTTCGGAGATCGTTAAAAGAGGTTGGTTGAAATCAGATGCCAGTGAATGAAAATCCAGTATCCTAATGCTTTATGTCAGGCTAATAACTGAGCCGAAAATCAGGGTAATCAAATCTTGTGTAAACAAGAAATAAGCAGTTCCCGATAGTTTGAGGACTTGCCCCTTTATATGCAATCTTCCATTAAAAAATAAGCAATGGGAGGAAATGGAAGTCGAAGAGAGACTAACCGATTCACCACAGAAGTTCATGTATGCCTGTGGTTTAACCAGCAATATCGGCACCTCTCCTATAGCACCTGTTAAAGCCGGACAGAGAATTCCAATTTCCAAATAAACAATCTAAAACAATAATGATAACCAAAGAAAAGGAAACAGAAAGAACAGAAGGACCTATCCCGAGCAAAGCTTTGGACTGTATTGTGTTCATCGAGATGTCCCCAGCTCGAGCTATATGATCGATCATCTCGAAACCAATCTGCTCATAACCGGGATTTAGTACTACTGCGGTGAACTATTGACAGAAACATTTCAATGTCTAAATAGTTTACATTATGTCTAGTGCCGTGGTATTTCTTCCCGGGGTTTCCCAATCCAACGATCAGCCATGGCGTGTATTCAACTTTAGACTTGTCGTCGCGAAGCGGCAGAGAAGCACTCAATGTGAATTTTCTCAGACCCGATTTCGTTCTACCGAAACTGCGACTCCTAGGGTTAACAAGACATGAACTTGGTGGGAACGTTGTACAAAACATCACCTCACCTGTAACAAAAAAGGTTAAATCTGTGCATACAAACCGCCGTAAAATGCATTTGCCGTCCTCAGAACTCAGAAGAACAAGACGGTGAGTGGATAACGGCAATAACTCAAAGGGAAAACCTTCAAATTCGTCTAAATCAAGAAACAAGAAATACACACGCGAGGGTCAAATTCGAGAGATGCCCGGAATTTAGTTCATGTCTCAAGATCAGATTTTTCTGAAATCTCAGAAAATTGTGCATTCAAAACATAAACCCTAAACCCAGAAGCCTAGATTTCCCTCGGAGAACCTAACACATGCCTATAATTCCCAATCAGATTCTCGGCGTAACGCTAATTGCACAGAACCTGGTAACAGATAATTGGTAGAATATCGAAGAACACTAGCGCATAAGCATGGCGAAAAAGGGCACTGACCTTCCGAGAGAGAGAGAGAGAGAGAGAGAGAGAGAGAGAGAGGGTTTAAGGATTTGTTTTTTTTTCCTGGCTTATCAGTTATTTATCACATACAAATGGATTTTTCCGATCCGTGAAGCGTTGATTGTCGGAATAACATCGAAATCTATTTGGCTTTGAAAAAAAATATCATGACAATTCTATTTTACTGTAAAAGGTTTATAAGTTTTTTAGTGAACTTAAAAAAAATTTCCACCTATTTTTTTTATTTATAAAAACCTATATTTTCCCCTAGTTTCTAGATTAAAATTGTAACTAGACATACAAACATATGCCCCACTTTTTTAGATTTGCTAATCATTATTATTAATTTACATTGATGTAATTAGTACTATATATATATATATATATATATATATATATATATCTGTAGATCCATTATTGTATGTGCGTAGGGTTATAAATAATCTATAATGTAAGTTTCCGTTGTGAATTTGTAAGTATCTATTGTCTTTAACTTATGTTAATTATTCTTGCATCTGTACAAATCATGCATTTACAGTATGTATACATGAAAATTAAATTCAATCTGTCAAAGTTTAATCTTTTTCGTTCTCTATGTCTTATAACCTATGATCGATGATATCTTCATATTAATTTTTGTTTTATTTTTCCATTTTTAGAGAGATTCTCGCATTCGGATCAATTCACCACTGTAACATTATCACTCATCTAATATGCAGTAATGCTCGACAAATAAACGAAATTAAGGAAATAATTTATTCATTAGGAAAAAAATATACAATATATTTTTACAAAGAAGAATTCAAGAAAAGAAAAAAGACAAGCAAAAGCATTCACCGAAAACAGGTTTAGCTCAAGTAAGAAAAATAATTCACAGTTTCATAAAAAAAAAAAAGAAGAAGAGAAAAAAATATCATAAATTACCCTAGAAATCGAAACAAGATATGAAGGGGAAAATATAGTTTTAGCGAGAAATGGCAAATCTAAATGGGCCGGATCGGGAAAGCCCATTAAGGCCCAAGACTGAGATGAAGATCAAGCCCAACGCCCTTCTCTGTCTTCACACCGCCTCCGGCAACATCTCCGGCGTACTTTCTAATTTCCGGAAAAGCTGCGCCGTGAGCCCTAACTTCCCCGGCCATAGATTCCATCCCTCCTCCGTAAAAATCCCTTTTTCCGGCGACGTCGTAGAAGCCTTGTGACGAAGCCACGTAACGGTCGCCGTAAAGCCATTTAGAAGAAGCCATCGATGTCGTCGTCGGAGAGAACATCAGATGCGGAGGAGGAGAGAGGAGATGAGGCGGCGGAGCGAAGGCGGAGATGATGGGGTTGTGGTGACGTGGCAGGCCGCGATTGGCGAGCATCTGGGCTCGTTTCAGAAGCTGACGCTCCTTCTTGTGTGCGTTTTGATGACCACCGAGGGCTTGTGAGTTGGCGAATTCACGACAACAATACTGACACTCGTATTTCCGGGTCTCCGGTTCGGGTCGGGTCGTCGGCTCCGTGGCCGTGGTGGGTTCTAGGATGTTTATGCCAAACAACTTCAGAGAGCTTGCATCCGCCATATATATATATATGTGTGTATGTATATGTATGTGTGTGTGTCAGAGAGAGAGAGAGAGAGAGAGAGAAGCGGAAATGGGATCGATGAGGTGAAGCATGTGGATCCATTTATATAACGGGGAGATTGAGAAATTAATTTTTAACTTTTCCCACAAGTAAAACCCATTTTTGTACATAGTCTCGGGGTTGGTCCACTGGTCGCTTGGTTCATTGCTTGGAAATTATGGCGTGGTTCAACGTGTTTGTAAGCATTTATATGAAATAATATATGCTCGTGTATTCGTTTTATTTACGCCACGGAAATATAATAACTATCTTCACTATTTATTGAATATAGTCCAATGCTTTGGATTGATTAATGTTCAGTATCTTATTATAATTAATGGACAAAATTCTCCCAAAGAAAAAAACAAAAGTAAATCATCAAGAAAACCCTAGAGAGAGAAAAACTAAAAAAAAAAATCATAAATACATCTATACATGCATATGCATGTTCATATGCCCTCGATGCCCCGTAGAATGAGTTTTGTTATGCATATTGCATACCCCTATACCTACCTATACCTATATATATATTTAACTCCTATACCTATATATATTATACATAAGTATGCGTACGAATGAATGAGTACATCTAAGTGAAACATGACTATATCATATTCCATTAAGTAGGTCTACCTCGTAGACCATAGATTATATATAATATAGTTTAAATGTAAGCATAGACGTAATCTTATCCCTCAAGTGTATAATAACCATATCACGGATTTGAAGAATTCAATTAGTTGTTTGGATATAACGAGAATAAAAACAATTAAAAAAAATCCAATTTCTACCTAAAAATAATGAAAAAATGTGATCGAGTCTCTATATATGCATAAATAAAAGTGTATATATATATATATATATATATATATATATCAAATTACAAATAAAAAATTATAAGCATAAGTACTATATAATAGGGAATTCTTATAAAGTAAATGCAATTAGGCGGTCTATTATATATATATCAAGAACAACTTTGTCGGCCGACAAAATAAAATAACATGATTCGTCGTAAAAAAATATAATGAAGGAAATTATAATCAAGATGTTTCTATAGTTTTGAAGCAACAAAGTGGAAGTGTTTAACATTTGCTGATAAAGACAAACAAACAAAATGAATTAACAAAACAATTAAGGATTATAATCACGTTATAATTAGGGCCCCACAAAAATACTTAATTGCAATTAGATTACATCAACTATATAAAGTGTTAGCGTGATTGACGTTGAATCAAGTATTTGTTTAACATGGGGAAGATCTTCCCGAATCTTACTAACTACTAGTCTGATTTGATCATTAAACCTTTTTTTAATTGTTATAATCATTAAAATAAATTTAGGGTCTTAATCAAAAATCAAATTGCTATTTAAGTAATTAAACCAAAAGCTTAATCCGCCCCCTGAACTCATGCATGATCCTTCGCTTCGAGATTTTGAAACTTTAGTTGTCATCATCTATTGTCTCCTTCACGGTTTTGTGTTTAGTTGACAATTAAGTTTAACCTAATATATCTATCTATCATTCTTTATGCTACAAAATAAATCTAATTTTCCCTTAATTAATTAGGTTAAAGTATATTCATTTTGGATGCCACGTTCACATGTGACATGACTCTATTAAACAAAATCTCTTAGGTCTCTTGATATATCTATTAATTAGTTGTAGTTGTACAGATGAATGTAACCACCGAAAAACTCAATACTTTGTCAAAAATAAAAAAGATTTTATACTTTAGAAGAAACGAGGTAGAAATTTCTAATTTCAGTTCACTTATTTTTAAACTCAAATTGTTTTTATTTTAAAAAAAAATATATCAAATTAATTTTATAGATTGAATTTGATTCGATATAATTATAATTCGAATTAGATTTATATCTCGAAATCCAAATGATCAATAATAATTGGAACTATTTCAATTATATATGCAATATGATATTGTATTTGTAAAAAATATACATATAAACAGCATACTATGATCCAATACTTGATCTTGGCTGAACAAGGCATTTGATTTGCTTTTTTTTTTTTCCAAATAAAACAAATCCTCTTAAAAAAATATTTCTAAATAAAACATTTCAATCTTTGAATCTCTATCTATCCATCTTTCTATCTAGAGAGAGAGAGAGTTGAAAATTGGTGGGTGGTTGCCGTCATTCAGATTCGAACACATAAATTTTATTTTACATGTTCTATTTTCGTATAGCTTAGACAAAAAAAAAAAAAAAAGGAGAGACAATATGTAACTACATCAATAATCAGCGTACAAGTTATATATGCATGGGGCATGATATCCTGGGAGACACACATCAAAATCGTACTTTGGTTTATAAGTTTTTTTTTTGGTGAAATACTTTGGTTTATAAGTTACCTCATAATCATCATTTAATTATTATTTTGATCGACTAGTGGACGCTAATCAGGACATATATAATATAACATATATATATATATATATATATATATATGAAAATCATAAAATATGCACAAAAACTATAACCAGACAGTCAGATACAGATTTCATGTCATGATGACAATGATGTTTATCTATCTGAAATCCATTATCGAAGCTGTATATGTATATATATATATATATATATATATATATATATATATGTGTGTGTATGTATATATAAAAGCTTGACATGTGTTGATGAATCCATCACTACGTACGTGGAATGATCAGAGATATCGTACTTGGCCACGTTCTATTTTTTTTTTCTCCAATACTTGCGGTGAAATCTCTCACCTAATCTTTACTTTACCATCATCAAGATCTTGCCCCAATATTTTATTTATTTTCTTGTTTTATATTTTTTATTTGCAAATATTTTCTAACTTTGCATTATTTTTTAATTCGTCTTTTTCATTTTTTTGGTCTTTCTTAAGTAGAGAAGAAGAGATGTGAACGTTCTAGACACTCACCACGAATCTCCAATTACAGATTCGAACCATCATATTCATGGGTCTCCTCCACACCCAACAACCAGATCTAATTAATTATAATCAGGGGATTGTTATTATTTAAATAATTAAAATTAACAATAAGATTTAGGGAATAGTCTTTTTCAGTTTTTTTGAGAATCTAGTATTTACTTAATTATTAAACGATAAAATATCCTTAATCTAACTTCTAATTAAAATTCAAACCCCAAAGAGCTTATTAAATTACAAAAAAAAAGTGATATTTAAAATTATAATTTTTTAAATCAAATTAATTATTATTTGTACTGTTTTAATGAAATCCCATTTAATAAATTCATTTGAATCACGGCTATCAATTCAGGTGGCATATTCAATTTTGGTCTCACCGGTGTTCCATGATTAGGTGCTTATTCGAAATCTATTATCAATCAATAAAAAAAAAGAGAGCTTGAATTACCCATCTTTGAAAATGTATTGTGCTTCTCTTTCAAGACTTTTGGTTATCTATGTAAACGCCATTTTTTTCTTTCCTATACATTGAACGTCATGATTTTACAAAATTCTATTGAATCTATTAATTTAGAATAAAGATATATATATATATATATATATATAGGGTTGACATTAATACCTAAAACTTGGACTAATAATACATTTAAGGAATAATTTTCTTAACTGCATGATTCGCATGTAATAGATATTATTTTATCTTACTTGTATTATCCTCTTGATACATATATATATATAGCTATCCTTGGACTGTGTTTAAATGCTAATTTGGGGGGGGGACCTCATTTAATTATCCTAACTAATGAAAAATAGGCATGCGATTAACTGGAACGATATTTCACACCATCTCTTAGGTTTTTTTTTTTTTTTTTTTGGGAATAAATATGAAAAGCAATTGTAAGAAACTATTCGCATATGATGAAAAATGAACCGTCGGTTATTTTTTTCCGCACAACAATTCCAATTCCTCCCGGCTCTTAGACAAAGATGTCACAAACGATAAAACCCAATATCGATGTTTGGGCTAATAAACTAGGCCCAAATCAGGCAGACTCCCCCAATATCTTTTGGGCCTATTTCCCATTTGCCACGTCATCATCATCATCATTATGATTATTATTATTATTATTATTAGGGATAATCGCATATTAATACCCAAACTTTTACAAAAATCCCAGATAAATACCCAAACTATAAAATTTTCAAATAAATACCTGAACTTTTTAAAAATCCTATATAAATACCTGAACTGTTTTATTTTTTTCCAAATCAATCAGATTCCGTTGACAGCGTTAAATTATATAACGGAATCCCGAAAAAACGATGATTTGGCAATAAAAAATTATTATCATTATCCATGTCACATGCCACGTATCTAAATCGGTTTAATATTTAAAATTACAATCAAAATTGAAACAAACCGATTTGAAATTATTAAACCAATAAAAAAAATCCTAAAATTCTAAAATCCCTAAAAATCCTAAAGTACTTCGTCTTCTTCCTTATTCAAGTGAGAGAGAGTTGCAGAAGAGCTTTCATGGCAGAACCTTCATCTAAATTTTTCCACAGGCTTCCTCTCATCCACCTCCTTCTCATCCACCTCCTTCTTCTCATTAACCCTAAACCCTTGTCTCGATTCGATCTTCGCCATCAAGGAAACCATCTTCTTCGATTACAACACAATACTTCCACTGCTTATCTCCGCCACCGCCGCCGCGTCCCTTCCGTTTTCCGGCGTCGTTCGGCGAGATCTTTCACGACTCAGGCTTCAGAGATCCTGAAAATCTGCTCGAGGAAGATTCCCGCGAGTGGTGACCCATGGAGGACTGAGAATGCGGCGGAGATCCCATCGGACTTATCACCGGCGTCGAGTGGAAGGAAGACATCATCTTATCATCCATCCCTATTGCCTTTACAAATCAACTATCTCTCTCACTTTGGAAAGGAAGAAGACGAAGTATGAGAGAGAAACCTTCCAATTTCACTTTAAGATTTTTAGGATTTTAGAATTTTAGGATTTTTTTATTGGTTTAATAATTACATACCGGTTTGATTCAATTTTGATTGTAATTTTAAATATTAAACCGATGTAGATGACGTGGCATGTGACATGGATAATGATAATAATTTTTTATTGCCAAATCATCGTTTTTTCGGGAATCCGTTATATAATTTAACGCTGTCAACGGAATCTGATTGATTTGGAAAAAAATAAAACAATTCAGGTATTTATATAGGATTTTTAAAAAGTTCAGGTATTTATTTGAAAATTTTATAGTTTGGGTATTTATCTGGGATTTTTATAAAAGTTTGGATATTAATATGCGATTATCCCTTATTATTATTGCAAATACTTTTCTTGATTCAGAAGTTTCAATCTCCAGTCTCCTCCGGTCCGATCGATATTTCCAGACTTTTCAACCTCTGACTCTGAACTCAGATTCTTGACAATGTAGCCTTTCTTCAACCCGATTCTCCGCATTGGTGTGTGATTTCTATCAATCTTTTCCACTGAGAAAATGAATTCCTCGTGTTCTTCGCGTTTAATCCGAACACGGGTCTATCTTTTTCTGTTTCTCTCGTGCTGTTTTCTTCAAGCTCGGTTCTCTTCCTCTCAAAGATACTCTGGTTCTTGCGGAAACGAGTTCCGGTGCGGAAACTTTACAGCCGGTTTCCCCTTCTGGGGAGGAGAACGGACCATCTCCTGCGGCCATCAAAGGTTAAGACTTGAATGCGATCGGAACACGAGCATGGCCGTTCTTGTACTCGATAAAGATAATACAACGTTCTGAGCATCGAGAACGATTCACGGGGCGTCAGACTTGCGAGAAAAGACTACTTCTCGGGATCCAAAGAACGAGGAGAGAACTCGGGATCTAACAGCAGTTCCATGTACTTTCCGGATTGGATCTACAAGGATATCGAGAAAGGGGAATGGACGAGGTTTCTTGGGATAGAAGTAACCAAAGAAGAGATTGCGAAGAAGATAGTGACAGTGGCATTATGGTGCGTCAGGTCTAACCCATCGGACCGCCCGCCGATGAACAAAGTTGTCGAGATGATGGAAGGAAGCGTCGAATCTCTCAAACTGCCGCCGAGGTCCGTTTTGAATCTCCCTGCACCGCATTTTTCGGAATCTCATTGGCATTCCGAAGAAAGTTACCATGATCCGAGAACGTTTGCACGTACCCTTGAACGGCAAAAAACAAGGGAACTGTTGTAATATATGAACAAATCTTTATAAGCTTGGTGTTCTAATTGTATCGGTGAGCATATAGTGATCAGGGTTAGAAGATGAACTGGATATTCCCTATTCATTCTTTGTTTGCCTCGCTTATTACAATAATTAAAAAAATGATTAGTGATGGAAGTCATTGAATTTCAGAAGAGATTAGCTATTTTATCGTGTAATTAGACCTGGTCAACCTGAATGATCTCAATTCTCTCCATCATCATCATCATCATCATCATCATCATCATCCCTACGGATGAAGAAGATGACTTTGGAGGGGCTTTCTGGTAATTTCAGAAGTCGTGCTGTCCGCTCGTTGACTGACAATTGGCGATCAGTGTTTAATCAAAGTCAACGCATACAGTTTGCTGAGGCAATTTGTAGTCAAAAGTCTGGTAGATATGATACTTTATATCCCCCAATCAATACCTATACATATATATATTTCTGTATATAAATGATCATATAATAAGAAATTTGAATATGTTACTTAATTCTGTGGATAGTAGCGTCAAATCGATGAAGGCCAACCCTTTCTTCCCCTGGCTCATCTTCACCACCATCTCCTGGCTCCTCGAAGAAGAACCCGTCAGACACAGGAAACCAACAACGAACTCTAACCACGAAACATAATTCAGAATCTATACATCAAAATATACGAAGTGGGAGATTCTTGTCAAACCAGTTAGTACAGCTTTTACTTGTTCAGACAGAACGCCCAAAGACGTAACGTTACATCAACATATGAAAAGTCACAGGACTTTGAGAAGTTCATCTTGTTCTGTCAGAAAAAAAATACATACACGAGCCTTAGCATCAAAATCACACACAAACTTCATAAATTTACGCAGAATTTTCTGAGGCCACAATAAAAAAGGAAAAACCCTTCAAAGAACACGTATTACAGGAACCGATAAGCCTTCGTGAATCAACTTGTTCCACGGTTCTTCAGTTGCTTTGTCACCAGACGAGGCCCTTTTTCCTCCTAAACCTATCAACGCTCATCCGGGACTTTTCGGGCTTACTCGTCTTCTTCGACTTCTCCAGCCGACTGTCCAGACTGTTTCTAGACACTTCCGGAAGATACCCGAGCTCAAAAGTATCCGCATTCCCGCTTTCTGGGGGCTTGCTCTGGTTGTTGGTTGCGTCTGTTGCCACTTTGTTCGGACCATTTCTTGGTCCTTTGGGTTTTCCTAATGAGATGACAAATTTCTTCAGATGTCTGATGTATTCTGGATAGAGTTCAAGATTACAGTGTCCTCCGCCGTTAATCCACAAAGGCTCATACTTCTCTTTGCAGAGTTCCCAGAGCTGTTTTCCATGGGAACATTCAACTACTTCGTCTGCTGTACCCTGAAAGTGCAGCGAGAGAAAGTTATTCCCCGTCAGTGATAAGCATCCAGACACTTTTAGATTGAAATCTTGCTTCATCCCTCAAAATGGCATTATATACTGTCGGAAACACATTTCATACAGAGGGAGAGGAAGTCCCGCATTATGGAAACATCATAAAATATTGCTGCAACGATTGAAAAGGCATCTTCATTCACTTGTATGGTTAGGAAAAGATTCTTCCATATTTCATTGATCTCTTAGAGGGGAACAAACCCGTTCATTTCCTTAATGATGTTAGCTGATATGAAAATCCAAGATAAGTCAACATCGCCTTAGTCCCAAGTTTATTTGGGGTCGGCCGTATGGATTCTTCGTTTCCACTCATTTCGGTTTTGCCTTTGCTCTTTCAGAATTTGTAACCATTCCAAATCATTCCTAATTACGCGTTTCCAAGTAAGCTTAGGTCTACCTCTTCCCTTTCTCTTCACCCCCATTCCTATATTCTCCACTTTTCTAAACGGCGCATCCATCGGCCTACGTTGTACATATCCAAACCATCTTAAACGTCCCTCTCTTAACTTCTCTTCTATACCTATTACACCTATTTTCTCTCTAATAGTCTCAGTGCTAACACTAAAAAAACATTCCTCATGATAGAATGCTCCACAGATCATTCTCTAATTTTTAAACGATGCCAATGAAGTTAGCTCTCTCTCCCTGCAAAGCATCCCTTGTGATTCAATCAGTTGGTTCACAAAATATTTACTTTTTGAAGTTATATGACCTACAAGTTTCAACTCATTTCAATATTTGTCAATACAATTCATGACATCTAGGTCTACTATAGTGAGTCAATCAAAGGCAAGCCACAAAAAAGCCAGGGAGAAATATATATATATAGAGAGAGAGAGAGAAATAGAGAGAGAGAGGTGCAAATCTGTAAACTTACATGGATTACTAAGACAGGGCAGGTGACTGCACCAATCTTGTCAATATTCTGAAAAGCGTCCAATTTTCAGGTTATCATCTAAACAAGGAACCAAAGTAGAGCATGATTTATCATCCACCGGCTTACCTTGTAAATGTCAAACCAATATGTACGTTTCACCGGATACAAAACCCTCATTCCGGAAAGAATTGGGCTGTGTAAAACCACCCCTCTCAAGTTAGTTGTGCGTGAAGCCAGATCAATTGTCGGTCCACTACCAACAGACTGACCATATAATATCAGCTGATCATCCTTTACCCCATACTGCTCCTTGAGGCATTTATATGCTGCATCTATATCCGCATATGTGTTACACTCGCTTGGCTGTTTCAAAGTGACAAGTTCATATCCATCAGAAACTATCTATGCAAGTCTTATGAGAAGATAAGAGACATTCCATACAACCATATTATACAAAATCGCACACGGTTCTCACAATGCAAAGTTGGAAGGCTGAGGTTGTACCTTTCCTGAAGATTGGCCATATCCAGAGTAGTCATACCTAGAAAAGAAAAATCGAAGAACGGGTTGAGAAATAATAAAGAATCCCTGTTATATACAAAACAGGTTATATAAATCTGTAACGTAGACAAAATAGCAAGCCCAGTGGAAAACCTACTAACAAGAGCCACACTCTAAAAGAGAACTAGCGACTAAAAACTGTATGTCCTTACAAAACCAATCAATCATAAAGCAGTTGTTGTTTATTTTTGGGTTGATCATAGTAAATTAAAAACATGAGCCTCCCAACACATCTGCACAGAAGAGCATAATTCTATTCTCGGTAATTTATATGCCAGTACTCGACGTCCAGAAACAAGCAACCATGTTGCACGACATTTATCCAACAAATGCCATCAGCCAAAAGCTTAAACTTTCCTCGTACAGCTGAGGCAAGTGTCACTAAAACTGGTACAAGTGAAAGCTTAAACTACATATTCAGCTTCGCCTGAATTCTCTGTGATACATACAGAGGAAATGAATGATCCCAGACCTATACACAGCTATAATCAATGGCAATGGCCCGGATCAAAAGACCAGAGCTTTTGGCTAATAGCACTAGTTTTCACACAGATCTTCCATTATATTCACATGTAAGTCGAGGAAAACCCAGCTCTACATGAATCCGAACACAAACTCATCAACCATGAATCCAAAATTGCAGCTTTATTTCATTTCAGAATTGACAAGAACCTAAGTATGGGTTACCAAATTCGAAGTCAATCTCAAACTAGTTCACCACTTCAACATGGAAAAGAAGTACTATTTGTGCAAACGAAAACCCTTACAAGTCAAAGACTTGATAATCTTAACGAGAGAGAGAGAGAGAGGGGTTTACCCCATGAGATTAACGCGAAGGCGATTGGCAAGCTCGACAAAGAGCTCAAACATCTGACCCAAATCGGCGGCGTTTCCATGGGAATAGAGAAGCGTGCCGTTGGCCTTTGGGTGCTTCACATAAATAGCCACGATCTCGTTGCCTCGTCGTGTCCGAAGCTTCAGGACGTCGACGTCGTCCCGGCGAGGCACCTCAGGTATGTAGAGGCGGGCGCCCC